GGGTCAGAATCAACTTGATAGCAGTATGTTTGGTTTTATTTTTTAACAAGAACATAAATAAATGTCTCTTCTCACCTATAAGCACAAGCTTATTCACTGCAACCACTTTTTTAATTATAAAATTCTGGGGACAACCTAAATTCCCATACTCATAGAAAATAGAGTAACATAAACTGCGATACCATCGCACAAGGGAGTAGTACTACGCAACTAGAATGAAGAAGTGCGTTGTGACCTCATACACCATCGTTTCCAGGATATGTTGTTAAGTAAAACACGAAAATGTCACAAAGTGCAAAAGAGGACATACAGTGTACATCATTTTGCTTAAGAAAAATAGTATAAATCAGAGAATACATACCTACCAATTAAACAAATAGGAGCCCTGGTGGTGCATCGGATTAAGCACTGGGCTGCCAAGTACAAGGTCAGTGGTTCATACCCCTGCCTCTAATAGAGCATGGTGCTGCTGGCTGCTCTTGGAAAGGTTGACAGCTTTGGCAACTTTGGGTGAAGCTCTACTCCGTTGTCAAGGGTGGTTATGAGTTGGCCTTGACTTGACGGCAGTGGGGTTTGGGGATTGTGTTAAGCAAATCAAGCACACACGTGTGGGCACACACAGGATAAACCAGAACGAATAAGATTGGCTACCTCGGGGGGTGCATTAGCACTAACACCATGAAAAAGAACAGGGGGACCCAGAAAGGCAGCCCGTTTGGCGGGCATGCACTTCATTCACTAAGATGTTTTTAATAGAGTTTTGTTTTTCAGAATAATTCTTGTGACTTCTCTACAAATCTGAAAGCATTCTAAAATAAAAAGGATTCAGAAAAGAGGTTTTGCTTAACAGAGGTGTTATTTTGTTATGAATTTCCTTTTGCTATGATCTTAAAGAAAAATACTTATTTTTCCACACAGTGGCAGCTATTCAAGAGGCTTAATAGCTGACCTTTGCCTGTACACTTTAACTAAATTTCTCATAGTAATAGTTAACAAGTATAATTGCAAAAATTTTTTTTATGATGATGAAATCTTAGCAAAATATGTAAATAGCTCACTTAATTACATCAGATAAGCTGTCTTTTCTGCGTTAGACATTGGTCGTACATGCTTGCCCATCCTCCCCTTTTTTGTCTCGGGCTCTTTGTACACTATAAAATTTCTGCTTTGAGGTCACTTTCACCTTGTACTAAAAATGTAGTCCAATTTACCCCTTCCTTCACTCCAGTTCATGTGCAAGTTAAATGGTGACTGAAGAAAGTTCACAATCAGCTTGATGGTGGTCTTCTTTTACCACCTCATTTCTAAAAGCCATTGATAGAACATGAGCTCTAGGTCGTACTGGAACGCACTGACTAGTAATACTTGTCCAATGACGATAATTACTGGGGGGCGAGGGGGAGCATGCTATGACTTATTGTATCTTGGAAACACTTTCCATTAGATGAAGTTACAGAAAGATCCTACTGTCATAAAGAAGAGAAAGATAAAATGTGGACCTTTATTATTGCATTAAACATTTCTGGAGTCTTTAAAAGTATATCCCCCCCCAAAAATTCTGATTTAGTACTTCTGTTGGTATTCATCTATATAAGCAACTTGTTCTTTCCCCTTCGCTTTATATGTAACACCAACGATGAACCAGTTGCTTCGATCTCAGATCTAGGTTACAGACGTGATTTCTCTTCAGTTTACTTCCCACATCGATTCATAACCAGTCCTTTTGATTTCATCTGTTCCTGTCTTTCTCTACTTCCAACACCCTAGTCTAAGATCCCATGAAGTTATGCCTAGATAAAATTTCCATAAATTGTCTCCCTGCTTTTACATACTTGTTTCACATGTTTCCTTAGAGTGACCTTTTGCAAGGATGAATTATACATATCATACGACTGCCCTGCTTAAAATGTCTGATGGTTTCCCATTGTACTGAGTGAAATCCAGGGAGACCCCTGCCGGCACTGAGATGCTTACCACCCACTGCATCTTTAACCTCGTGGGGGTGCTGGGGGGAGAACAACATGAAGGGGGAGAAAGGGGCAGTCTAACAAAGCGGTGGCACAGGAGCTACCATGTGCACTGCAGCACTTCGAGATAGGGTACAATGTTTGGAACGATGATGGCACGTCATGGAATTTCAACAACCACCACCAATAAACAAGGAACATCCTTAGAGGACCAAAGTCACGACTCAAAACAAGGCCCGTGTGCCTTTTCACCTGGATTTCAAGAAAGGAAAGAAAGGATTGTAAAACCTTTAAGCAAGTGGTAGTAAAAATTTAGCAAAGTCCTTCCTAAGACATATACCATCTGTATCATCTGCAACCGTGGTTGTGTACAATTCATGTTCATAATAAAAATATAAAGGTCAATTATGTTCTGAATTCTCAATATTAACATGCAGGTAAATACCATTCATTCAAGAGAGGTTTTCATTAAGCAATTATTAAAGTGAAAGAATCTACTTTCATATAAAGAGATACATTTGCGTTTACTAACCTAAGGTTGTAATTACCCAAAACTTTTTTTTCTCTTTTCAGAATATTAGTAAATTTGAGTGTATTGTTGTTCTGTAGCTTTTTAAACTATAAATGTCCAATGTGTTTTTAAATTAGGCAGTAAGCAAGAATCAATATTTACTAAAGAAACCAGTCAACTCTGAAAGAGTCAGAGAAAGAAGATTTTACATTGTTAAAGAGAAGAAGTTATTATTATAGCACCACTCTTAGAAAGTATGCCTATTGCATGTCGGACACTATGGAGACTGCTCTGCTCTGATTTATGCAGGCATGCTGAAGTCTGACTCCCTTTTCTAGGCTTGACTGGCAGATCTGTGCTTGTGAATTCTATGTGGATGTGTACTTATATGTGCGCATTCTCGTACATGTATGTTAGCTTCTATTCCTGAGCCGAGTGAGCTTCAGATGCCTACCTTCTAGATGGTCTCTGCTCATGTGATTCAAATAGAACTATGTTTGATCTTGGGAGCTTATGCTCCATTCAGACTTCCAGAGGAAAGAAATAAAAAGTGCTGTAAATGAAGCATGAAGCCCAACGTTTAAAGAAGAAACAAACTAATTTGACTTATGTGCTACAGATATAGTCATATGTATTCTAGATTGTGATATTCAGTGATACAAGTATATACATATAACAAGGGGTGGAAGCATTAAGCATTCTGTGGAGCGTATGCTCCCTAAGATTTGATTTCAAACCCTGAGGATGTGTTTTAATAAAGAAAATAAATCAGTTGTGATATAATCAGGTCTAAAATATAGCTAAAACTCTTTTCTACTTCTTTGGGATCATTGTTACATACCTCCTGGCATAACAGAATAAAGGGAACAAATCGTTTACATTGATAGAAATATAAAAAAGAATATTCCTAGCAATCAAGTTTAACTTACACAATTTGAGTGTCAAATTTTACTATCATTCTGCCCATATTTTACCTCTGGTCCAGGAGGGCCAGATGGTCCTTGGGGTCCAGGGTCTCCTGTTTGGCCCTAAAATGGAGATGGAAAACAAGGATAAATATTAACTTAACAAACAACAATTTTAAAAGGAATCACACATCTGGCAAGCAAGTAGTACTCACATTATTAGGTCAAAGTTGTAATAGTCCCAGAGAGACTTAAATAACTTATAAACATTATCATGGAACACTGACATAAATAAAGTGTTTACGAATATAATATATACTTACTGAAAAGTCTTACATACAAATCAGTGAGTTCAGCTGTCGTCCAGAAATAAAATTGTGTGTGTGTGTGTGTGTGTGTGTGTGTGTTTTCCCCACACATAGGACACCAAAGCGTGACTCAATAAGGAAGTGAATTTTAGAAGAGTAACCCTTTTACTAGCCAGACTCCTAGGACAGAAGTTAAACATTCTTCTCTCCTTAGGTATCAAAAGTGGACTGATACAGTAAGACCCACCTGAATTTTAATTTCCTTTTCATCAATAAAATGGAAATATTAACAAAAGTTCTAGCATTCTCACAGCTATTGAGTGCTCTCAAGCAGACAGTGTTTGTACATAGAAAGTACTCAAACAGTCACCGATTTTGATTCTTTTTTCCTACCTGCCCTCCTGTCCCTAGAATTCCACTGAGTGTTTTGATTTTTTAATTAAAGTTTTGAAGATTTTGTTTCAATCTCTCTGAAGCCAGCTTATGAATTCTTCTGAGGGATTGTGAATCAGGGCTGGAGAGGAACCGGACAGGGAAGAAGTGGGCAGAGAGCCTGGATGTTCAGAGGGCGGGCAATTCTCTCAAGAGGAGAACAAGGACAACAGGGAGGCCCGTTCTGTGATGGCGCCCTTGTTTGACTTTGTCCTTTCTATCGTCACTCATTTCTCCACAAGCCTGTATTTGATGTAAGTAGGCTTCAAGTCCAATGAAAATGAGAAGAAACATGAAATTATCCACTTTCAAAGGACACTCTCTGTGTACATTAAACCCTTTCTCATAAACAGCTAATACAATTAGCACAAAGTAATTATGAAAATACTTTTCCTCCCTCTTTCAAATAAGTAAAAACTGTGATCCCTCAGAATCAGTATTTAAGGGATACATTTTTAAAAATCATTGTTGGGCGCTCTTGCAGCTCTTATAACACTCCACATATCAATTGTCTCAAGCATGTTTGTACTTAGGTTGCCATGACTCTTTTCTAAACATTTACTGTCTGTTTGAGCCCTTGGTATCACCTCCTCTTTTTTCCCCTCTCACCCCCCCCACCCCCAACCCACGTGACCCCTTGATAAATTATAAATTATTTTATTTTCCTATCTTACACTGACCACTGTCTCCCTTCACTCACGTTTCTGTTGTCTGTCTCCCGTGGGTAGGTACTGCATCAATCATTCACTCGGTTCCACCGGGGCCCATACTCCCCTCTTTCCCCCCACTCTTCTGGTATGGCTACTCCTATTTCTGTTCCTAAGGGGTTTATCTGCCCTGGATTCCGCGTGTCATGAGCTCTTATCTGTATCAGTGTACATGCTCCGGTCTAGCAAGAACTGAAAGGCAAGACTGGGGTGATGATGGTGCAGGGTGAGGAAGTCTCAAAGAACCAGAGGAATATTGTGTGTTTCATCTGTGCTATACTGTGACCTGGTTGACTCATCCCTTCCTTGTAACCCTTCTGTGAGGGGATGTCCTTTTGTCTACAGATGGATTTGGGGTCTGCTCTGGCTTCTCTCATTCTTAGGAATGTTTTTTTTTTGTCATTTGTTTTGGGTCTTCTGATGCCTGATACCTGGTCCCATCAACACCTTGTGATCACAGAGGCTGGGGTGCTTCTTCCACATGGGCTTGTTGCTTCTCTGCTAGATGGCCACTTGTAACTTCAAGCCTTTAAGACCCTAGACGTCATATCTTTTGACAGCCAGGTATTATCAGCTTTCCTCACCACATTTGCTTATGCACCCATTTTGTCTTCAGCGATCATGTTAGTGAGCATCACAGAATGCCAGGTTGTTAGAACAAAATGTTCTTGTGTGGAGGGAGGGCTTAAACAGTGGCCCAAAGTCCATCCACTTCCTCAATGTATTGCCACAAAGTATATGTACATAGGGCAATACCTTTATTTTGCTGAATTAATGTATTTACATATGTGCACACCAATGTTTATACTTCTATCCATAGCTTTGCTTCCTAGTTGTTTCCTCTGTTTCCTTTTATCTTCCTCCTGCCCCACTATCAGGATTACCCTTCTTCTCCCTTAGTAATTCCTGTCAGCTAGCTTGCTGTTACTCCACCACTAGGATCTCTATTGTCTGACATTAAAAAATACCTTTCTCAGAGAGATGGGGTTCTCTTTGGTGCCTTCTAGTGGCTATATTCAACCCAGTAATTAATTTTACTCACTTCCATGAAGTGGAGGTGGACACAAAGTGACCCTGTAAAATAAGGTCGAACTGCCCCTTTGAGTTTGAAGACTGTAACCGGCACATAGAGACCCTACATGGGGTTTCTGAGACTAAGTCTTTATGACAGCAAACTGCCCCATCCGTCTTCCAAGGAGCGGCTAGGAGGTTTGAACTGCCAATTTTGCAGTTAGCAGCTCAGCATCAATCCACAGAAGGAAAATTATCAAAGAATTAAAAACATAAAAGATAAAATCATTCCCCACTTTGAAAGACCTCACTTGGAAGGTTTTTTGGTATATCGGTTCACCAACAGAAAAACTACATTTTCAAGGAGCTTTTAGAAAACAAAAACCTGAGTAATACGTACGCAAACTTCCAAAAATGGCAAATACTTATAGCTAGAACATGGGAAAAACCCAATATCTGACTTTATTATATTTCTTCTATTCTTAAGGAAGGAGTTTTTCTTAACAACTTCAGAAGGGTAGTTTTCTCTATTTTTCTGAAACAGAGCAAAAGTTTCCCTAATCCAGAATGCAAACTCCTCGGGAAGAGGACCTCATCCTCATGCTGCAGCAATTGGGCACCGTCAAGTCAGCCCTCCCAGGGATCCAGGCACAACCCAACCGACCCTGCTCAGCCCACTGCTGCCCTCCTCCTGCATCCCTGTGTCAGTCCATCTTAACGGTGGTCTTCGTTTTCGCTGATCCTCTTTACCAATCAAGAGCCCTTCTCTATGGACTGGATCCTCCTGATAATGTGTCCAAAGTGTCTGAGATGCAAGTCCCCCCACCTGTGTTCTAAGGAGCATTCAGGCTGTACTTCTTTAACCACAGATATGCTTCCTCTTCTGGCAGTCCATGGTATTTTCAGTATTCTTTGAAAACATCATCATTCAGAGACATGGGTTCTTTTCCGGTCTCCTTTATTTGTTACCCTTCCCATGTAGACAAGGTGGTTTAAAAGAGCACAGCTTAGGGCTCCTTAGTCCTCAAAGTCCTCAAACCTGCTCTTTAGAGCAGACCAGTGAAAATATCGCCAGGGTAGGCTTAAATTCTATTTCTAATATCCTATTAGCACCAGCAACTTTCAAGACTCATGCTGTGGCATGCACTCAGTTAATCAGGAAGAACAAAGGAAAGGTCAAACCTACTGAGGATCCCGGCTTGCCTCTCATTCCTGGAGGTCCTGGCAAACCGAAGACTCCCTAAAAGCAGAGCAGAGCCCAGAAGGAGAACAGCTATTATACCACAGAAGGCAGTGATACCTTTATTTACAAAGTAGTAAACATTCACATAAGTGCTCAAAGAACTTAGGAAATTGCTTTAAACAAAATATATAAAACCATATTGTCAGAACACGCCAACAAAATAAATGATTAAAATAATCAATACTTTTTGTTTTGAAGACAATATATATTCTCTGTTTTATATGTATTGATATCCAATTAATGGGAGAAAAGTTACCTTGTCTCCAGGATACCCCGATTCTCCTGGCTCTCCTGCAAGGCCTTGTTCACCCTAGCACAATTCCATACAAAGACACTTTATGCACTGCAACCATGGAAATATTATGTAATAAAATATACATTATTAAATAATCTGGTTTTCCTACTCCTGAGAAAATTTAACAGAAAATTGATAATATCGATTAGACCTAGTAAATATAACCAAAATATTTAACAAATTATTTTGACTTTAGAGAAAAAATGTGATAAGAAATAATCTCTATGGTAATGTAAACATTTAAATCACCTTATCACCTTTGATTCCAGGCAGCCCCTTATTCCCTGAGAGACCCTAAAAGAAAAGAAAAAAGTGATGTTTTGTGACAGTATAAATACATTACGGGGAAATGTCCATTTTTCAAATAGAACCATACCATTGGGCCAGGAATTCCAGAAGGTCCAATTGATCCTACAAGCCCAACACTGCCCTGGAAAGCAGTAAGAAAGAAAGGCACAGTAAGCATCCACTAGAATGGAAAGACAATGTGATCAAGTTAATTCATTACTCAATGGAGAGATGGTCATTGCAGTCATCTCCCCACGGCCCCATGGACGCCTTGCTAGTCAGCTCTTCTGTTCCTCTCTCCGTGGATACATCATGACAATTTTCAAGTCTGAGCCTAATGGTCTTGTTTCTTGAAGCCTTCTCCCACTCCTCTAGTCCACAAGGAGGACCCTTCCCTCCTGCGATGCAGTCCATGCCGCTCCACTTGACAAACTGTATGCATCAGTGTCATGCACCCAGGACATGTTGACTAAACAGCTTGTTAGCCTTAGGTTTTTCATTGACCCTTTTATTCAGCGAATATTTTTGAGCAGTTACTATGTTTTGGGCATTCTGATCATTTGATTATGATCTAAATTTATAGATCGAGACCAGGTCCCATAATTTGAAGGGTCAAGTGAATAGTGAAAAATAAACATTTTACTCTGGGCTTTCCTCCTTCTTCCATCATTTGGCACTTACTGAATACAAGAGAGAGCAGACACTGAGTCAGCATTGAGAAAATAAAGACAAAGACAAAAAAGACATCATCTCTATTGCCAATTTTCTCAGTTCCATGATCCAAAGCATGATTCCTCAAGAAAGACCTAAAACTACAATCTCCTCCAAGCATGAGTCTTAAATCGGCTCTTGTAATATGGCATCTCTCCCTTTATCCTCTGAGACCATATTGGGTCAATTTTCCCTTTTATGATGTCCACATGTTAAGTAATTTTAAAAGTTGTATTTTTGACATGCTGAAATTATTGCTTTTAATAATCTCTGATCGTTCTCCAACCTTTCACTTAGAATGCAAATGTCTTAGAAAAGCTTCCCAAACCCTCCTTCCAGCCGTCACTAACCAGTTTGGTCTCATCTCCCTTCATTTTCTCCACCCCCTTCAGGACCCTCCGCCTCAAATCAGATGGGCTCTCTGTCATCCTTTGCGCCAAGCCCTTGAAAATAGCTGCCACTTCTGGCATGTCCCTCTATCCAGGACATAGTACAGTACACTGTGCTTGTCTTTCTACTTCATTTGAATGTTCTGTGAGATCAAAATGTGTCTATTCATTATGTTATTAATTTCAAAGACCTACCAAAACAGCTGACACACCATCATTTGAAATAAACAAGTACAGAATAAATACTTAGCATGAATAAATAGAAAGTATTAAATTTAAAAATAATTTTAAAACATTGACCTCTGGAACTCCATCTCCCAACATAGCAGAGTATCTCTAATACACAACGTTTACATGCAAATTTCAGAATGGAAAATATGACATCCTTATTTCTGAGTCCTAATGTCTGTGAAGTATAACCAAGATAAATATTTCCAACATGTTTAATCCTGAAATATATGGGACTGTGAGAGAAGGGTAATACTTTCCAACTTAATAGATATGTAACATTAATACATCATTGCTTGTAATTCTAAATTCTGTTGATAGGAAACAATTATTCTTATAATTACAGGTTCAGTTTATCCACAGTTCAGTCTGCTTCAAAGTTCATAGCTTAAAAACTTTAAATGGGCTCAAAAAAAGAATAAGCATCTGTTTGAAAATGATATAGTAATGAACCATGTAGTACAGAAAAAGTTACCTTACATATAAACATTTTTTCTTTGTGTTCTGTTGTTTTTATCATAGATAAAATAATATTCTTAACTCATTTCAGTGAATAATCACTGTGCATAAACTGCCATCTTCAAATGAATGTGTTTTGCATACATTCTATCTTATTTTAAATTTTAGTGATTCTTCAAGAAAAATCACAAAACACTAATAGGAGATATGAACAAAACATACATTGTAAATAAAAAATAAAAAGTGAATGGTTTGGTTATGGAAATTTCTAAGAAACAGCAAGAATTTTTGACATACCACAAGTTGTGTGGGAAATAGCTTTCCTGAAAAATCGTAGCCTTCTGAAATTGAGCCCTAATAGGTCACAACACAGTTTCCAGTTCTACAAAGCTTACCTTAAATTCTTTCAGCATTCCCTACCTACCACACTCCCGAAGCATGAGAAGATGGATCAGATAGAAAACATGCTTTCAAACATGGGAGCTTAGCTGAGGATGTCTGGGACATAGCAACAGAGCCAGAAGAGCCTAGAAGTCACAGCTACAAGTAAGAGAGAACTTTGTGTCATAGCAGTTCAAGACACAGAGCCCAAGAATAGATTGTCTATGTAAAAATGCAACCGCTGGCCAAGTCCCAAGAGTGTGACCAATAATGTCAGTTGGAGCATAGGAGCAAAGGACAGCGAGCTATGTGCTGGACTTCGTCCCCATCCCCATCCCCACTCTGGAGCCACAATTACGGTCTCTAGTGGAGCTACTGAAACAACACGCAGCTGAATGGAACAGATCGTGTAGAGAGAGAGTAGCGTCTCTTGTCAGAAATGATACCTGCTGGAAAGGAGCACATGCGAGAGCATGCAGGGGCTTCAGTTCTGGGAAAGCAAACTACTTACTAGGAAATATAAAGTTCTTCCTCAGCTTCCCCATTACTTTCAGGTCTGCTCATCATCTTCCATTGTGTGCCCATCTCCCATACTTCGTGGGCTATCATCCAACTACTCCTCTTTCCATTTCCTAACCTTCATTTCCCCCTCTTCTGTGCATTTGCTCACAGCATTCTTCTGCCAAGCAGCCTTGTTCAACATAAAACTTAAAAGAATCTCCTTGACGGAGCCTACTCTAACTCCCAGAGATGATATAAATTGTTCCTCTCTCAGTGGCTTTACATTTAATCCACAGGAATAACACTGTTAGGGAATCTTGACTTGCTCTTGTTTCTTGTGCACCAGTGTTGGACACAGCAAATGGCTTACACTTGTCCAGTAGCTTACAGGTTGTCAGTTTGAGACCAGCCAGTGCTTCAGTGGAACTATGAAAATCCTAGAGATGCGCTTCTATAAAAATTGTAGCCAAGAACCTCTATGGAACAGTTCTGTTCTCTGCATGAGGTATCTGCGTGTTGGAATAAATTCCATGGGTTTGGATTGGTTTAGTTGTTACATAATAGATACTCACATGGTTTTTATTTTAAATATTAACGGAGGTAATAATAGTTGTACTATTTTAAGAAAACAGGATAAACTTTTGAGTAATGCAAATCAACGATGATGGATTACATGAAGTATTATGAAAAGTATTGTTGGCATCCAGTTTCCTTTCCACTTGCTTTCCTCACTGTTCAGAAGACTGTCTACAGGTTTAACCCTAGAACTACCGACAACTCTACTATCTACACTGGATTCTAAGAGAAATAGCATCCTTTGGGATAAAAGAAATCTACTTGTACACAGTTTGTACAAAAGATTAGATAAATCTTCAAAGACAGATAATATGCATTTTAAGGTATAAACATTTATTAAGGTGGTAGGTATAGTACAGTGATTAGAATTTTGAACTCTGGGCTCAAGCTCTTGGAGCTAAGTGGTCTTGGGTCATTCTGGGAATTAAATAAGAAACACTGTGAATATCACATAGAAATGACTACATATGAGCTGCTACTGCTACTACTACTACTACTACTACTATTACTACTACTACTACTACTACTACTACTACTACTACTACTACTGCTGCTGCTGCTACTACTGCTGCTACTGCTACCACAATGTAGAGAAAAGTGTAAATATGTCGTCCCACTCAGGTCTTCTGACCCTAAATGACAAACTCTTGTCTTCCAAAGATGATAAGCTAAGACTTGTTAGCTGAGTTTCTTTTCATTGCAGTTCAGGTAAGCGAATTTCATTACTTCTTGGACCACATTGTCACTTTGTGCTTTGGAGTGGCTGATGGTAGAGGCAAGATATGGAATAAGAAATCTGTGTCCAAATTTAAACTAAAAGTACGTGGCAGTAATCTGTGCTCTAATGCTCTAGTACAGCAGTTCTCAACCTGTGAGTTGCGAGCCCTTTGGGGGTAGAACAACCCTTTCACACAGGTCACCTAAGGCCATCGGAAAACACATATTTCCAATGGTCTTAGGAACCGAGACACCTCTCTTCTAGCAGTCTTCAGGCGGGTCCGCCCACATGCAGATACGCCCACATATCTGGAGTGAAGACTGCTATCCATGCTACACTATGCTTCAAGACAAAATTTAATTTATTTGTAATTAGAAATAAATGTTTCACAATATATAATTACATATTGTTTTGTGATTAATCACTATGTTTAATTATTTCAATTTGTAACAATGAAAATACATCCTGCATATCAGATATTTACATTATGATTCATAACAGTAGCAAAATTACAGCTATGAAGTAGCAATGAAAATAAATTTTATGGTTGGGGGTCACCACAAAATGAGGAACTGTATTAAAGGGGGGTGGCATTAGGAAGGTTGAGAACCACAGCTCTAGAGCCTTAAATGGACACTTTACATGCTAAATCAAGTTCTCAATATGTTTTTTTT